CATTAATTTATTAGATATAGTAACTTATGATTTTAAATATCATTTACAGCCCTGGTGCCCAACATGTGGCCCACAAGCTATTGAGTATTATATAGATAGCAGAGTGGCGGCTGGGTGCCAGGCGCTGGAACGCTGAAGCACGCTGTGTGTTCCACCACCCCACACTGAAAGATTGTACTGTGGGCAGATATGCTTTTCAAAAAAGTCCTTGCCTAGAGCTGGAGAGAGCACAACGCAGGAGTGTGTGATAGGTAAGTGATCTCTAAGGAGGGGGATAGCGTGGTTAACTTCCACTGACATAGCCACCAATAGGGGGGCATTAACTTTTACTGCCATGACCACCAATGCAGATAGAAGGCGGGTCACTTTCCCCGCTTTGACCACCAATGCAGGAAGGGGGAGTTAATTTTCACTGATAGGACCACCAGTGGGAGGAGGAAGACTGGGTTAACTTTCACTGTCATGACTACCAATGCAGAGAGGGATGGGGGGCGTTAACTTTCACTGCCACCAGCAAGCAATGTAAGGAGGATAAATGGATAAATTTCACTTTCAGTGTTCACCAAGTCAGAAGTGTGGGGTCACTATTAGTGACCATCAGTGTGTGTGTGTGTTTGGCGGGGGGTTTAATAGTACCGACACTAGTGCTGGGGGCTATTATGGCATTCACTGACACCATTGTGGGGGGTTATTATTGCATTCATTGACACTGATGTTGGTGGGTATTATTGCATCCACTGACACCATTATTTGGGGCCACTACTGTGTTCACCGACATCAGTGTTGGAGATTGTGTTGTGTCCACTGACACCAATGCTGGGGGTTATTATTGTGCTCACCAAAACCAATCCTGAAGTTTATTATTGCTTTCACTGACATCAATGCTGGGGGTTATTATTGCACTCACCAACACCAATGCTGGGAGTTACTGTACGCCAGCTTCTTCAATGTGTATTGTGATATGCTCCAAAAAAATGCATCGGGACTGAAATTTTTGGTCTTTGACAATGTGCTACTACTGTCTGGCCCTCTGGGACTGTTGGGCTCCAGCTCTGGGAGCTACCTAACTGTTAGTACTGCTGGGCACTTTTGAAATCTTCCACCACTGCCGGTTTTACTGAGTTAAGGATTAAGGCTGAGGCATCAGCGGAGCGCTGATATAATCTGCTGGGTGGAGCAACGTCTGAGTTCCTTGTACTCTTTCCCACCATTTAGCTTCGAGGAAGCACCAACATATTGAAGCTTCACTAATGTGTCATGTGAATCTTCAGCCTCTGGACTGTTTTCACTGCCTGCTTACAGTAACGTGGTCACCTCCTGCCACCTAAAACTCTCATTAACATCAGGTGCCTAGGTTTGTATTTACCCGAGGTTAGGTGCATTACCACTGCTAAGACGCAACATACCTTTACTAAGACTCAGAGAGGACAGTCCCACTGCTATGTATGACCTTCTGTGTGGCCAATACCTTGTGATTTTAGGGGTAGTTTACTTGGTATCCTCAATGGGAAACCAGCATCATCAGTCTTTCTCAACTTTGTCTTTTTCAAAGTCTTCATCAGCTCTGTTAAGAAGCAAGGCCAAATCAATCCCCATGTCCACAAGGACCTCCATATCCACTCGGGACATTTTAGCTGTTTGTGCTCAGCTACTGGGGCACTCTGCCCGCAAAGCCTTTAAAGCAGAACTGAAGTTCCACTGTAACAAACAGGGAACATGCAAGATTTTATTGCAGAAGAGACTTACAATGTTGCTTCTGCAATAAGATGCCCCTACACGCCTGCTTGCTGTCTTCTCTGGTGCTTTAAATTAAGGTTTTTGAGGCATTGGAGTGAATCAGTGAGCAGTGCTCAATTTGCTCAGTGTGTGGAGCTATGCAACAGCCTGCAGATTGGAGCCAGTTCAGAGGAGTTGATTGAATATAAGTAGATTGTTGCTTCTAGTAATTACCTGGACAAAGTGAAGGCAAGCTAAGCAAGATTTTGTTAGTTCACAGGGAAGGTCCTGTAAGAATATACGGAGGTGGGGGTGGAAGCTGAGGAGATGTGACAGACCCGAGAAGAGAGCTGGATGAAGGTTTAGATGCCTTGGATCCAAACTTAGACCTCCTTTCAGCTTGTTCCTGCTGAATGTGCAGTCCCTGGAGGGGAAAATGGAGGTGTTGCAGATTTGCATTGCATAGCAGAGAGACTTAAGAGAGTGTTGTGCTCTCATCTTTACAGAGACTTAGCTTCAAAATGGTATATCAGAGGAGACTATGACTCTGGAGGGGAGGCTTCAGTTAAGCTCCAATAGGTTGCAAGCATTGCATAAGAGTTGGGGGGGTCCTGTGTTGTTACATCAGGGATTGTGTCATAGAGCAGTTAAGATGGATTTACAGTGTACACCAGATTTGGAGTTTTTGTTAAGATGTCACCCCTTTTATCTCAGGAGAGAATGTATGTAATTTATTATTTTTGTGGTGTATATTCCACCTGACACACATTGTAAAGTTGCCATGCAGTGGATCTATGAGTCTGTGAGTGCTCAGATGACAGAGTACCCTGACAGAGTTTGTATAGTGGCAATGGATTTTAATAAAGCAGATTGGAAATTATTGCTGCCAAATTTGAGCAGCATGTCAGCATCTACACAAATGGGGAGAGTATTTTGGACCATGGCTAACTCTCATCCCCACTTTGAACTGGAGGACCATATATCGATCTTAATGGTACTTGATTACTGACAGATTATTAGAAAGGAGAAATCAGTACTAAGGACAGTCAGGAGGTGGACTGATGGAGCAATTAACACCTTGCAAGATTGATTTAGGTGAACAGAGTGGCTGTTGTTTAGGGATGCTGCTACCACAGACAATCAGCTAAATGTAGAGGAGTATTGTTCTGTTGTAAGGGTATACATGAGTAAGTGTGTGTAAAAGATGTAGCAATTGTTCCCCAATCAGAAACCCTGGGTGGATAGGGAGGTGAAGACTGTAGTTATGGAAAGGAATATCAACTTTAAATCAGTTGATAGGAAGCCATATAGTGTGGCAAGAGGGAGGTTAAGAGTAGGCATTAGGGAGGCTAAACAAAGGTATAAACTCAGGGGACTGGGATTCAATAATGCTAAAACCATGTGGAGGAATATCCAATCAGCTGCAGGTTATAAAAAAGTCAGACTGATGTGAGGGAAGGTGAGGCCTCTCTAACAGAAGAATTGAACATGCCCACTTTGATCATCTAAATAATGATGTGATTACTATATTGTTGGAAACCTTCTCAAGGGCCTATCACCTGCAAGCTTTAACCCGAATACAGATTCACAGTTCTGTTTTGTTGATGGCTTGTTTGAACCTACATCACAAATATCTACACCTGATATGCCCCATGTGTTGCTATGGTTGATGTCTTAAATTGTTCTTTGACTAAAATAATGTTTGTTCTGTATCTATACTTTTGGATTTTGTTATGCTGGTTACCTTTTGGAGTTGGGATGTGTGGGGCTGTTGATTATCATTGTCATTACTCTGTACTGTTCGGCTTTGTGGTTGGGTTCAATAAAAGCCTTCATATTAAAAAAAAAAAAAAAAAGGGTCTACACTCTATGTATATGTCAATGGACCATTTGTTAATATCCAGGGAGTTTTCCCCCTATCTGGGGTCTGCAGAGCATCAAGGAGATACCAGGGAACATCACTGGATCCCACTGTGAGCCATCTTCCTGATTTGAACTCTGTTGGACATCACCTTCAACCATACTGTCTTAGAAACATTGGCTTCTGGATTAGTTGTTGCTAGCTTGTGTAATTTGTGATTTGCCATTTTTTATATAAGTAAATAGAAAATCTTTATGATTTTCTTCAACTGTTATGTTACTAGCTATCTATAAGTAAAGTAAAACCAAGTTATTGACATCTTTAGCAGTCATACTGGACCTAAGGACTAGTGATGATGACTTTTAACAGTCTGGTGAAGTGGGTATGGGAATATATGGTGCAATCCACTGGGGATTTTCCTTAGTAAAAAAAATAAAAAAAAAAGCTTGAAAACCCCTGAATACAGTATATTTGTTTTGACCCCTTTAATAAACATACTGCCCATGTAGTTACCCCATAGGTTTGTCAGTCTAGACTGGCCATTGATTAGCTGGTCAAATCTGATCATCATTTAAAGGATAAATTCACCTTTTGGACAAAAACAATAAATGCACAGTTTTTTGCAGGTAAAAAAATGTGCATTTATTATTTTTATCCAAAGGAGCCTGTAAAGCATTGCACCAGTGATCAGTAGATTGCTGATGCCATGCAGGTCTCCTGCAGACCTGTCAGAATATCTGTTTGCTGTACATGGTGTACAAGCAAGCAGATCTACTGACAGGACGCCTCAATAAACTGCCACGGCGCTCAACAGTGCCGTGGTAGTTCATTGAAAACTACAAGCCCACAGCCACTAAGGAGCCCCGCACGGCCGTGCTGTTTTTAAATCTGACAGATGGTATGGGGAGAAGTTTCCCCATACTATCTGTCTGCGGGAGGGCAGCATCGGGCACGGCTGAGACTATGGGAACATGTTACATGTTCCACCCTAAAAAAAACTGTGGAACATGTAACATGTTTCAAAGTAAACTTATCCTTTAAGATTCCAATGAGTCCTGCCCAAAAATTAGGTAGCACTTTTTTGGCAATTGGGCAACTTCACTTTTGAGATTTATCTGAATGAGATGTCTGTGAAAACCTGATGTGTAAAGTAACTTTACTTGTAATCTATTGTAGATAGTAAAAAGTCAATGGGGCATGTATATAAAATAGTGAATGTGACATTCACTAAACAGTCACTGCAGGTGAATCAAGTACTGTAACCTAAAACACATGCAACAGGAAGATACACATAGAGTGAAAGTTTGGTGAATATCAGTTTCACTGCTATATAAATATACCCAAATGATTTAAAAGTGCCCACAGAATACAAGCATAGTTTGCCTGCTGTGTAAATAATATTTCACTTGTCTTAATCTTCTAGCACCGAATATGGTTGAAGGAGACCTATGGAGAAAGTCCTTTCCTGGATGAGGAGGAAGCCAAGCAACTTGTAGCCAAGCATAAGCAGAGAGAGGAAGAGTCCAGCGCTTCAAGTTCAAGCAGACAGTGGAGCAGTCATCTAACCTCTCTCTCTTCCATGGCGTACAGCAATTACACAACAGAAACATAAGTTTTCACTGTAGCACGTGTATTTACTGTCTAAATTACTTAAGTCACCACTAAAAAGTATATAAGCAGACACCACATTGGTAAATGCCAATTGCTGATGCAGAATTGGTTAGAGATATGGGTTAAGAGGTCTTAAGAACACAAATTAATGTGTTTATCCCAGCAAAGATGAGTAACATTGCTGAATTGCAATTTGAATCTGGATTTAATCTAGTTTGTCACAAGAAGAGGGTGAATTCCACTATTTTTGTGTATCCTTGGCATCCTGGCACTTTATTACATATCTCCTTAACGCGGGTCTCCCTAAAGCTTTGATATGAGTAAGCACTGTTTTATGGCTTTTACTGTGCTTCTGTTTTTAACATATATTTTAACGTTTTCTACCTCAATATGCCATTCATTTATATAGTTACTAAACCAAACCACTTCCCAATTACATCCTTAACCAACGAAAAAAAAATGTTGATTGGAAATTTCTCAGGTAGTACAGTGTCAAGGGTGGTATTACTGTTCTCCTGCAAGACCAATCTGAAGTGTAAACATATGGTGCCACAATACACTCAGGTAATGTAGACGTAAAGTGTTCTTTTTCCTTTTGGCTGCTTTTAAAAGACAACAGTTCTTGTAGTAAAAGAAAACTTGGCCACACAATATCTTTACTTTCAAAGGAGTTATTGTATTGAGATCATGCACTTTATATAATAAGCAAGAACTTGGTTTAAAAGATATATAAGAAAAAGTAGCCCACCATGCTTTGAATTGTAGATAAAGTGATGGGCACATGGAACTGAGGGATAACACCATCATTAGAGACAATTTTGTGTAATGTTACTTTTGTGGTTACTAAGAATTTATGCATAAAATGGCAGGGAAATATCACGTGCTAGTTAGAACTTTGCACTATATTGTGAAGATTACTGAAGGAGACAAAGCCACATTTCCAGACTTGATAATGAAGCTTAAGATAGTTGCTGTATTCTGATCAGTCACATGCCACCTTTGATGGTCTTTCATCATTAGATCAGACAATACTATATAAGGCTTTGTGTGAAAACTTGAACTGAGCATCAAGAGTACCTTTTCTTCAAGTGCTATGTGGTTATTAAACTGAAAGGATACATATATTCCTCTGAATATTTGTTTCTATATAAATACAAGCCATGTTAAAATGTTTTTACATTCCCACTGTTATACACGTGGACTGTTATTGTGTGATTTTTTTTTTTCATATAGGAAAGATGGATCCAATAAAGAAAATCTGTATTATATCAATGTGTGGACTTTTCTGACATTTCATTTAACCTCCATCATGGTTTTTGGTCTACATAAGTGTGCACATCTCTCCAAACTGAACCTAAAACTGCAATATATTTGGGTGGACTGATCCTTTAAAGAATTTGTAATCCACAACTAAATAACATTTCACTTGTTAAAGCACTTTGTGTCATATGTTTGTTTTTTTAACCCCTTGGCGCCAACTACACACAAATATGCGGCCTTACAGAACTGGGCTTTTTTCCGTGGGGCCGCTTATTTGCATTCCTGTCTTTGTGCTAGGAGCGCGCTGCATGGCGTAACATGATTGCTGTGATAGCCTCTCTGATCAGTCACTGTGAAACCCGCCCCCCTTGTTTTTTTTCTCTCTCCGAACGGAGGAGAGGGATACATTGTCTCTCTCTCTCTCTCTCTCCTTGCATAGAGCAAAAAAACTGTAAAAAAGAAGATAAATATTAAAAAAGAACAAAAAAAAAAAGAAAAAAATACCTAGATCAAGGTTTGATCTGGTTCAGTGCCAGGGTTAGTGTTTGGGTCAGGGTGAAAGGTCAAGATTTTTTTTTTTTTTTTTTTTATTGGTGTCTGTGTTTTAGGGATGAAAACAAAAAACAAGATGCACACTGTTGTTTCTGGGCTGTAGTACAGGTACAAACAACAAATAAAGTACACAGATATGGTATTGCTGCGATCGTCAAGAGCTGGAAAATTTTATTTTGGGTTGTTCTTTGGTGGTAGGTTATGGTATTAACAAGAAACACATAGCTAAATTAAAAAATATGATTTTTGTTTACTATTTTGGGGCAGTTTTCCTTTGATAATAAAAAAAAAAATCAGGAGATATCTATTACCATTTACTACCAAATGAAATCCAATTTGTCCTGAAAAAACAAGGTATAATTCAACTGGATGTACAAATTAGTTGTGATGATATGTATGGTTTTACTAACCTATATCAAAGTTGTAAAATTTTACTTGGGCTTTAAGATTTGTTTTATCCTTAGGTGTGAATGGGTTAATTTACATGCTATCATCATATTTTTTCCTCCTTTGCAGCATGCACATGCATACATGCATGCATTTCAATGATGGCGGCATGGTATTTCTCATGATGGGCTTCTTAATGGTGGCAACAGTGGAATATGCTTGCCTAATGTGTTCTGAAATGGCCACTTGTCTCCACTGGAAGCCTGCATGACTAGCTATAAATGTAATGGTTGGAATTTCACAATTTAGAACTACAACCCTGTTCAACAGTCTCAGGTAAATACTTGTAATCCCACAAACAACAAAAGCAGTAATATTGATCTACCTCCTGTCAGTGGCATGCATGTTTTTCATGTACATCTAAGGTTGACAGCTGTAAAACAGAAAATTGTACCATCCTTACCGTAATTTTCCTTTCTTGGCGTCTATCCATGGCAGCATACCTGTGATAAGCTCCACCTTAGATTCCTCCCTCGGGATGAGTGTATATATAAAAGAAAGGATTAAGGTACCCTCAGCATTCTCTGTAATATAGAATACTGAGGTCGAGATTGTATGCTGCCATGGATAGGCGCCAGGAAAAAAAAATTACAGTAAATATGGTACAATTTTCTGTTTTCCTGGTGCCTCCATGGCAGCATACATGTGATAAAAAAAACTAGCTGTAATTGGTGGGATCATGCTTAGAAAAAGTTTTATTTAAAAAAAATGGGATTTTCATTTGGAACAGTCAATGGCCGTTCTGATAGCTTGTCTGCCGAACTCCACAAATGAGCCCCTGGATCCACTCTGTAGTACCTCATAAATGTGTGTTGGGTCAACCACGTAGCTGCTCTGCAGATGGTCTCGATGGATACATTTGCCTAGCTGCCCATGAAGTGAAGACAGACCTGGTTGATTGTGCCCTGATTGAAGAGGGGGGTTCAAAACCCCTAGCCCTGTACGCCTTATGAATGAACTTGACTATTCATGCTTGAGGTGATTATAGCCATATTAGTGCATTTGCGACAGAAACAATTGAGTACTGTCCGTGATACTTTTTTTATTTGCACTAACATACAATTTTGAGGAAAAGCTTTCGGGGAGTGTCCCCTTCTTCAAGTACTGCTTGGACCTTGAAGAAGGGTACACTCCCTGAAAGCTTGTCCTCAAAATTGTATGTTAGTGCAAATAAAAAAAGTATCACGGAGAGTACTCAATTGTTTCTTGACTATTCATGAAGCAATTGTTCTTGATGAAGCCTCTTTTCCCTTTTTTTTGCCCAAGGGGTTGACAAATAGATTAAATGAGTCCCTAAAAGATGCTGTAGCTTGAAGATAGCACCTTGGTACAGTGGCAATGTCGAGCTCATGGAGGGTCCCTGATTCCGGGTCTGAAAAGGTTGGCAGAGCCCAAGGTTCTGAAAGAATGGAAAAGCAAGAAACCTTCAGAATGAATCCGCGCAGTTCCAAGTTCCACCCTATCTGGGTAGAAAGTAATGTGGTCCTCTTCTGCCCCTAGGGCTTGAAGTTCTGACACTCTTTTACCAGATGCCAATACTGCTCTTAGAAAAAGGCCACTTTTTTAGAGTCAGATTCCACAAAGAGGCCAATTCGAACAGAGAAAAGGGTTGGCTGGATAAAGCCTCTAGGATTACAGACAGATACCAGGTGGGAAAAAAAAGCGTGGAGTTTTTTTTGAGGGGTGGACAGATCTTCCTAATGCCTTTGAAGAATTGGACCATAAGCGAATCTTCGGCCCACAACGCTTGTCTGTTGCCGCAGAGATTGTTGCCACCTGCACCTTTAAGGTGCTCAGGCCTAGACCTAGGTTCATGCCTGCCTGGAGGTAATCATGAAGCTGAGAAGTGGAGGGCAGATCTGGATTGAAGACCCCGCTACAGGGACGACCCCCTCCTAGGGAGAGTAGTAACAGTGCTCCAAACAGTCTGGTTTGGACACTCCATTTGTAGACAGTCTGTCTTCGCAGTACCCAAAAGGTGTGTGTTTTTTAAGGGCAGGCAGCTGTCAGCAACACATTCAATATCATCACTGAAAAAGCTTTAGTCCTCATCCACACTGGACATTTTTACAGCTGCTGTTTTGGATTTTGACATTTTTTTTCTACGGCCAGTAAACTCCCCAGCTTGTTATCCTATGTGTCCATGCACACATAGATTGTGCAAAATCAGTGTTTTTTGGCATGCACACATAGGGTGCAGGGGTGATTTTTGGCTGAAAAAAACCCCCACGTTTTTAACATGCCTTTACACAGCTAACATTACCAGCGTTATTAAAACGCCCAGTGTACATGGAGCCTTAAACATGTTCTAAACCTTGTCATACATATTAATTGTAGAGGGTTTTCTGGCTTTGAGTAGAGTCGAAGTAACTTCCGAAGAACATCCTAGGGCCTAGAACCTCTGCCTCTTAACAACCATATGTGAAGATTCAATTTGTGAGGATTAGGTTGTGTGTGCTGTTTCTGAAAAGGTATGAGTGGGATTTTTATCGGTGAGCGAACACTGAGGAACACCGCTACAGGAAACCACAGATGTCTTGGCTAGTACGGTAGGACTGCTATCAGTGTTGTGACTTCCATCAGAAGTCTCGAAAGGAATTTCGAGATGAAGCTAGGTGGGGATGCATAGGCCAGGCTGCATGCCCACGGCTTGAGAGGGCATCCATTGCTTTTGCCTAGGGTTGAGGTAGGCATGAAATGAACCTCGGTACTTTGGAATTGTCTGCTGTAGCAAAGAGATCC